ATCTTTCTTAAATCTTTTGAGTCAGAGAACACAGTGTCTTTTATAGTGGCAAACCTAGTGTCATGTGTTTGTGTGGCTGTATCGGTTAAGCATAGTTGTGGGCCTAGAGAAAACATGCTGCTTATATCCATTTTGAAGAAAGACCAACTTTTGTATGAGGTATCTCCTGGATTGGTATTAGTGTTTGTGTTAATTATTTTAGTCATAGTTCCCTGAATTCATTTACTGACTATAGAAAAGGTTTAAGAAAAAGAAAAAAGGATGGAAAGAGATGTGTATTATATCAATGAGAAATAAAACTCCTTTCCCCTCAAAAAAAGAAGGGGGGGCTATTAGACATAAGATACAAGGATCAGTCACCCTCTCATTAACCTCTAAAAACGAGTCTTTCAGGCCAGGCTTGAAGATGTTTCCTCTCTAAGTGGTACCATGCAGCCTAAAAGTTAATTGTTATTCTTATCAAAGAATGACCCACATTAACACTTCTCTGGGGTCATTAGCATATTTATAAAAAAGTGGGGCGAAGGAGTGAGTATTCCCCTCTCTGTGGCTCTTTGTGATGCATAGCTATGGAGCAAAGTCTTCAGAAGAAAAAAAGAGTAATGTTATTAACCAATATTTCAACTCCTCTATAAATATCAAAATGCCTGCATGCATCCCAGCCTCAAGCATGGAGACTGCTGATTGGATTTTAATTACAGCAAGATACAAGGCAGTTTGGGGTCACCACATTTCTTTCTTGATGCAAACAGCCCTAAACTGGTTAACAGAGACCATGGGCTGAGGACCCAGGTCAGAGAAGCATGCCTTCATTTAGGTACCCACAGATCAGCGATGCAAACAGAGCCTGCTCCTCCCTCAGGATGGCTTCTTTCTGTTTTCCACCTTGACAAGAGGGGATAGTGTAACATCGTGGGAAACAACGGCTGTCTCCAAAGACTGTGAGTGTAGGGTGGGCTCAGCAGTTCAGTTGCTACTAAAATGCTCTTAGATTTATGGTTGTAAGCCTAGCCTTTAACGGCTAAGCCATCTCTCCAGCCCCTAAAATGCTTTCTGTGACTTGGTATGTGTGCTGTGTGCGCATCATACACACACTCAGGCATGTGTGACCTATGTGTATAAATACACATGTGTAATTTTGACAGGTAGGTTACACACACACCTGTGAAGACTTAAACTCCTGCTTTAAAAATCAGTTTTTAGATGCTATTAAAAGAGTTACTCCGTAAGGTACAAGGGTTTGGATCTCAAATATTCACATAAAAACCACGACGAATAGCAACAACAAACAACAGCCCATGGTCTGCGCCTGTAGCTGTAGCACTGAAGAATCAGACACAGGGTCATTGGGGCTTGCCGGCCAACCTGTCTAGTTGAACAGTTAGCTCAGGCTCAGCGAGAGATACTGTCTCAAAGAAGGGGGAGCGTGCTGGGGGCGGCTCTGAGTAAAAGCATTTGCCGCTCAAGCTTGGCTACACGAGATTGACCTCCACAGCCCTCATAAGCAGCAGGTTGTGTTGGTACACAGCTCTGATCTCAGTACTGCCAAGGAAAGATGAGGAGAGGACAGAGGAGAGACTTGGAGAGTAGCTCACAGGTCACCTCGCCTGGAGAACGCCATGTGGTGGCAGAAAAGAGATTTCTCGCCTCAACATAGTGCAAGGCAAGTGTTGACACTCAAAACATGACTTCTGGCCTCAACACATGCTCTTTGAAGCCCTTCTATGTCCTTTCTCACTCCACCTGCCCCTTACATTCATAAACACACATACACACTAATTACCATGCTTTAAGTCAAGAGTGTCCAGAAGACTCTGAGTTCTACCTTTGACCTCTAGAGTACATATGTCTACAACTTACGTGTAGATACACGCACACATAGGCACTCCTAGGCTTATATAATGTCAGCCCCATAGCTTTCTATTTATTTCACTTGTTGGGAAAAAAAAAAAAACATTTAATTTTATTTTGAAGCAAAATTAAAGTGAATTGTGTTCTTAGCTCTAAGTGCTATACTGTTAGGCTTGCAGAGGCACGGACAGGTGGAACTTTTGTGTTAGATGTTGAATTGCTAAATGGGAGCAAGCATTTCTCATTAACTTTGAGGGCCAGAATGAGTTCCAGGGCTTATGTAGTTTGCTGCAAACGATAGTATCAAAAATTTCAAAGTGGCTTTGAAAGAACACTTCTTATATATTCATATAAGCTATTTTTATTGCATTTATTGGTGTGTGAGGCTCAGATTCTCCTCCCAAGATCTATTGGCATGGAGGAAGCTAAGTGTAGACACCAGGAAGTGCCCACTCCATTTCTCTAAGTTTTAAAGCAGCTATTTGCAGAAAGACAGGAGAAGAACCAGAGATGAAAACCCTCAGCCGTGGATACCGGGGAGAATGGCGTGCTGGGCAGCGCCTCATTGCAGCAGTGAAGTCCTAACAACTGTGAACCAGATAGGGGTCAACACTCTCCTACAAAACCCATAAGCTTCCAGCAACAGATTTCCTTCCTGGAGACATTGCTATGATTCATTCAGTTAAGAACGTGTTCTTCTTGCTGGAGAATCAGAGACAGTAACATTGTTATAAAGACAGATTTTTTTTTTTTTTTTTTTGTCTTCTGTGACTCAAAGGGGGAGATGAAGATGGTCGGATTGAATGTTCACCATCATGAATAAACTCAGGAGAATGTAAGCATGCTCCCTTCCATGTTTGATCGTGTGTTTTGGAAAAGAAACAGAATCCCTTATGTCAGGTTCCTGGGTGGTTATATTCACACGGGGAATATAGTGGACACTTAAACACGGGTGCCCCAGGTAAGCTTGTGCTCAGCACAAAGTTCACGCTGAGCTGTGTGTCTCAGAGCCTTAAGGCATCTGAAAACTCACTTTCTGCTCCCTTCCAAATTCACTCTCCTGTCATTGGAAAAGCATGGGTGTTCTGGGCCTAGAGGGACGGCTCAGTGGCTAAAGTGAGCTGGCTGCTTTTCTAGCGGACGTGGGTGGGGCGCTCTGCACCCATCTCAGATGGCTGACAGCCACCTTTAACTCTGTTTCTCAGAGATGAAACTCATGACAGCATGAACTAACACATGCACATAAACCAATAAACACATTTTTTTCTGAAGAGATGGTCGAATATCAGTGGGAAAAGTACTGTATTTACAGTGGCTTTTCCACTGACAGTAAAAGTGTATTGTTCTAGAACGAGCCTTAAAATGCATCAACAGTGTTAACGAAGTAGGCAGAAAGCACAAGGGGAACAAGAGGCAGACAGATTTGCGGGTCTTCATCCGCAACCAAGGGGGCCCTAAAACTCAAGTCCCTTCCTTCCCTGTCAGCCACACGTAGAATACACTCTCTGCTCCCCTTCCACTCAGAGCACACGGCCGGGTGCACAGTGACAACGGCACGCCACCCAAGCAAGCCGGCTGCCGCCCGATGTGAGACAGGGAAAAGGCAGCAGGACACGGGCCATCCTGGGTAGAAAGGCTGAGGGGGGTGAGGATGTGTCCCCTGCAAAAATGAAGACCTTCAAAAGCAGGGCGGAGGTGTGCCAGTCGGAAAATCTGCAGCTTCCCAGCCACCAACCGGAACCCGTGTCAATGAAGTAAGGCAGGAGCAATAGGGATGCTCCCATACACGCATGCTTATTTACAAACAAGTAGATAAATTCTAACGAATGGAAAGTTGCCCACACCCAGGCCAGTCCAGCAACCAGGCTTGTTTTATCCATTTGTTGAAAGGCAGCGTGGGCATTTTAGTCAGCACTGTTTGCCTTTCTGCCAAAAGGAAGAAAGCTTGAAGGAAGACTGCATTTGGGACGTCATCGCCCTGCCTCCGGTTTGTATGATATCATCACTGAGGCGGAAGCCCCTCCGACTCACATCGTTAGACACGCTTTGATGAAAGAGCAGTCAAGCCCTCAAAAGGGAGCATGGACTTTGACGAAACAGCTACCCTTTCACTTAGAGACTTCAACTCATACACAAATCTCGGTGTGTTCTAGATCTCTTCTCAACCCATTTTCTTATTTGTAAATTGTAGCTAAGAGCGGATACAACAAAGATTTGATGCAAACCTTTAGCTACAAGGCCAACCTGAAATCTTTCACTTTATAAACTGTGGCTGACAGTGTCCTCATTCCCTGTGACATTACTGGGCGCTGTTTTATGTCACTTAAATTTGGAAAACAATGTCTAGTTTACTCAGCTAACAGTATTAACTACCAGAGTTTTGAACTCTCACATAAATGGAACCTGCAGCCATCATCCATTTAGGAATGAGGCATGTGGTTCTCAGAAGAGAAATGGAGAGAATGGAGAAAAGGTTCATAGTTTGGGCAGTGGATCAGTCGCTTATTGCTTTTCTCATTGCTATGACAAAGGACGTAATAAAACAACCTGAGTTAGGAAGGGTGACAGTAGCTCGCAGATGAGGACTCATTTCCTTGTGGTGGGGTCGGCCTGGTCCAGGAACACGGGGACACGCTGCCTCTGTAGTTACGAGAGGAGTGGGTTCTGTGCCCAGCTGGCTTCCTTCTGCTTTCTCTTTTATTCAGTTTAGGATTCCAGCACATGGGACTGTGCGGCCCATGTTCAGTCTGGGGTTTTCCTCCCACCTTAAAGCTCCTTGAAAATGCCCTCAGAGCTGCTGCCCAAGCTGTGTCTCCTAAGTGGCTTCAAATCCAGCCAAGCTGAACCGTAACAGACAGTTCACGATTCAGGGATTTGATGACGCAACCCTGGTGTGTGAATGAGCCAGCCTCACGAGGTGAGATCTCCACACACAGCCCTGTCTCCAGTAGATACTGGAAATCTCTGGTAGGTCATCCTCTTCTAACCGCCTTTCAACAAAGCTGGAGAAACAACCTTTAAAGCGCACCACTGGCTGCGCCTCTGCGGGCCAGGTTTTGAGGAAAGGGCTCTGAAACTGTTTGCTGACATGGGCCATCGGCCTGCAGTGTCAGCTTCTCTAGTCTGAATACTGTGGAGGTGATGCCCACCTGGAAGGATCCTGGTGTAGTAGCCAGAGCAGCACTGGTGGTCGGGCCGTGCCGCGTGGATCCGGCCTCCACAACAAACTCCCGTGGAATTGGGAAGGAACGCGATGTATTTCTCTTCACAGCAGCGGTAGCCAGGCTGAGGGTCATACAGAAGCCCGGCACAGCAAACCTGAAAGTGTGGGACTGGTTTTAAAGAAATATTTTACAAACAAACAATTTTACATTTAAAAACAAATATATTGTCTTGATTAAGAATACCGTATCTCACCAGGCATCATGGCACATCCCTGTAATCCCAGCACTTGGGGAGGCAGAGGCAGGTGAATCTCTGTGAGTTCAAGGACAGGCTGGTCTACAAAAAAGTCCAGGATATCCACAGCTGCACAGAGAAACCCTATCTTGAAAAAAACAATAACAAAAACAAAGAAACAAAAAAAGAACACTGTCTCTTGTGGACTATAATTATTTTTTCAAGAGGCTCTGAAAGGTGACCATACTACCTACAGTTATAAATCATTCAAATTCCATGTCGGTTGACACAATGAAGCTTTCCTTTCCCTAAGCTTTGCTTTATGTTATAACATTACATAAATGTAAATGACCCTGAGATTGCCAGTCCTTCCCGTACAAAGGTGCTTAGCACCGTAAGCAAGCCATTTCCTCATTTTATGAATCTTCAGCAATTGCTTAACTTGAAAACACTACACCAGTGCAAACTCCTCCCCACTCATGCTTTTTGTTAAATAAATTGAAATTTTTCTTATAATGCATATGATCATTTATTTATGGACCCACTCTTCCAATAAGGCTCTCTTTCTCCCTCTCCCCTCTTTGTATATGTGCACACGTATGTCTATATGCATATAGACATATGTAGGAAAACATATATCACAGACTACTACAATACAAAAATAAATTTATATGGAAATTAATTTTGAAAAGTCCTTTTAACTCTGTGTTTTTGCCAGGAGCTAGCTGCAGAAAAATGATATGCTTGAACAATCAAATAGGTATTTGTATCTTTATGCTATATATAAAACAAATCAAACCCCGAATAGCAGCTGGAAAACAGCCTCAGAACTTGTACTTGGCACGAGTTACTTCAGTTAGACAGATACTTCTGTGGCAGTCAAAATCAACATTTTTTTTTAATTTTTAATTTATTTTTTTTTTTTTATCAAGCACTTCCCTCTTGGTGATGCCTCCATGCTGGGAGTGGGTTCAGAAAAATGACTGAGAACACACCATTGCAGCATTGGAGTCTTCCTCAGTCCTGCCGGCTTGGTCTCTGCTTCACAAAGTTACCTCAGAGCAAAGGAAACACCCCTAATCCAGCCACCCAGGCAGCTTTCCTAAACAAACAGTGAGAAGTATTTTTGTTGGATTTAGTTGTCGGCAATGAGTATTTAAGCATAAACTGGATGACTCTCCTTTCAAAGCCACATTCTGCACAGGAAATACATGAAGCCGTGCTGAGAGAAGGCTTTAAAACTGTCATCAAAACACTCAACATCAACTCCCTGCATAAAAATACCAGAAAAGATACATTTGTTTTTCTAAGTTATCCATTTTAACTAGCAGATACTTTATAAAAATCTTTCTATCATGACCTTTCCATGTACATATGTACATTCATGTATTTAACACATACACACACACACACACACACACACACACACACACACACAAACAAACACACTCAAAGCACAATAATTTTAGAGATACAAAAATTGTAAGGTTGCCAAGTGGCTGGCTTTATGTGTCGCTTACATAGTAACCACTGCTAAGCTAGTGGCAGCCATAATAATTTGTATTTCGATCCACGTTGCTTCAGAAACTCACTTTATTAATTACGGAGCTCCCTTCCAGTGAATCTTATGGATTTAGGAGTAGTCTTAGTCATTGAACGTGCAATGCTACTGATAAATAGGACATTATTTCATTAGATGAAATCTTACCTCCAAACGAAGTAGTTTTCTGTGTTGTTTGTCAATAAAAGCCATTTACAAAACCCTCTGTCTGGCTGTATTATTGATCTGATTCCTAAACAGCAACTAATATGAACATTAATCTACAAATGACCATAATTCTAAACTATTTCTGACAGACCAGGAGTAGTTCTGTTCAAGGCATCTCCTCATAGCTCTGTGAGCAAACATTTGCAGCTGAATGGACTTGTAATAATGAAAATTTCAGGCCCCTCAAGCTGATAAAATTTAGGGGTCCCTTGTCAACCTAATAAACCCACATTTCCAGGAAAGATGATGATAAATGGGAAGGCTAAAATGCTCATGAGGTCAACAGGGCTTTGATAGGAATACTTCCTTCTCTATGGGGTCTCATAGCATAACATGAAAGCATTTATCATTATGAAGCATGGAGTAGGGAGCCTGGGCTCCCCCTGCTGTGTAAAAGGATCTACCTTAGTTCCTGGAGAATAGCAAGTGTGCCCACAGATATTTTCAGGGTGTTGGCACTTGACCGCTTTGCAGAGCTTATCACCGGGTTTCTCTGTTAACTCTTGGGTTTCAGGGCATGGGCGCCATGTTTTCCGCAAAAGGTCATATCCGAGAATGATACCATTTGGATTTCCTGGTGTCATCCAATCTATTTGAAGGGATCTGCAACAGATAAAAATCATACCTATACATGTAAATACATATACATGTATATATATATACATATATATATACATATATATATGCATATATATATATGTATATATATATATATATATACATATATATATATATGCACTCGTGTGTGTTATGTGACCCGTTTCAAATCTACATGTCTGCAGCACCACCCCTGGCTAGATTCAGCACCATCAAAGAGACAACACTTAACACAGCTACTATAAATTTCATTCACACACTCTTCCAGGTTGGTCAAAAGGTTTTATTTCATGAGCTGTTCTCTAAAGAGTGGGAGGACTAGGGACTGACATCTTAGTACACGCTGCTGCATTTGCTGAGAGATACGTGCATTCATATACATGAGTGCCACTTAGCATGTTGTAAGACTCAATCCAAGCTGCTTTAGTTTGAGGAGATTAATCATGGTGGGTGTCTGCTGGTCTCTCAGAGGCAAGAGGAGAATGTCCCTGTGAGGAATCAAGCGAACCCACTGGGCATCAGGTTTGCTGAGGAAAAGCACAAGGAAGACTTCTTGGCAAACACATCAAAAGCTGGAATATGGCAGACATGAGTTCCTCCTTATATACCCTCTCCTTCATAAAACCAAAGACAGATGACATGGCATTTGGCTGGCCCAAGGTGTATCTCGAAGAGGAGTGTGAAACTACAGGTGATGTGAGCTTTCTGGATGTGGCTGTCACCTTCTGTCTTCTTCGCTGTTGGATGTCTTCAGTAATGTCTGCCTGTGGTGGTCTGAGAAACCCCATAGGAGTCACAAAGAGCACCACAGAATCTGGGGTCTCTGAGACAGCGTCCTCCCTTAGCTCTGTGTGGATCTTACTGTATAGATCTTTATAGGTGGCTCTTACCCTGGCAGCCAAAATCGATTCCCAAACTGAGAAACCACTCAACATGACCAACTTCCTCCAAATGGTCTCTGACATTTCTTTGCATTTGAACTGCGGAAAGCTAGATTTATTTCTTCAGTAACTCTCTAGATCAGATATGGTTTGTGGTCAGAAATCTAAGAATTGGAGGTTCCCATAACTAATGCCCTTACAGAAAGCATCTGATTTTAAAATTTGATTAGCCATTTCACATTAGACATGGGTATACTTTGTGAGGCTGGCTTATGAGTGTGTAACAAGTGACCAAAGCTTCCTGCTTCTCGGTAGGTTAACGTTCCATTTGCTGTGATGAACGAGGTGCTACAGAGAAGAAAACCAAATGCCCTGGTGGCTCACGTCTGTAACCCTGGCACCCAGGAAGCTGAGGTGGGGAACAGACATCAGTTCCAGGCCAGTCTAGGTTTTCTCAAAACACAAAACAAACAAACAAAAAGATCAGTGTTCAAGTGAACACGAAAGGATACGCTCGGGTATGCACACTCCATCCCCACACATTCGCAATACGCAGAGAGTAGGTGAAAGTTCGATACTACGTTCCAGCGACATGGCACTGTGTCTTCATCCCTTCTCTGTGAAATGTAAGCATGACTACTCGAGCCGTCATCACTGTTCCTGAGAACCGCGTGGAACTCAGACACAGGGAACTGCGGTTCCCCTTGTACTGTCCTGGAGTCTCTGGCTGGACCTTTAACCAGTCACAAACAGCTGTAGCATGCTTTTCACACAGCATTCCTGTAGTACGCGCACCAAAGCAGGGCAAACACACGTGCTGGGCCATGGCTCACGTCATTGTTTATAATTTGATTGTGTTTGTGGTGGGGGCATGTGAACCACAGCACACATGAGGACATCAGGGGACACCTTTTCTCCATTTACCGTGTGGAGGTCCTGGGCATCAAACTTAGGTCTTCAGACTTGGCAGCAAGTGTCCTTACCCACCAAACCACTTTAAGTCTTAGCCACAAAATTCCCCAATAGCTTACACTGATCATTAATTTTTAGTCACTGTGCAAACTAATACTTTGAGTTTTTTTATGATTTCATTTTGGATCTGATCAGGATACTCAATGACATCAGTTTCAGAAATTCAATTAGGCACAAACATTTACCTGAGAAAGCAGCAGTCAAGATGAGCCTTGACACTTTAATAGACTGATGAAATTATCCTTTCATTTTCTGGAGGGCACAGACTGCAGAGGCCGCAGAGGGGAAGCTATTGTCACCGCGCGAGGGCCGTTTCAGAGGCCAGCACAGCCGTTGCTATTTTTCCATGGACACCAACTTTCAAATCAACTCTGCCTTCTGCAGACACCATATCCATATTCACTGCATAAGTGAATTGCAGCGGTGGCTGTGCTCTGTGTGCGCGGGTGGTGGGAGTGGGGGTGCGCAAGCACGTGTGTACATGTGTGTGAGAGGTCAGAGGTCAGCCTCAGGTGCCCTTCCTCAGGAGAGTCTCGTCTTCATTTCTAGACACAGTATGTCACTGGACCCGAGGCTCACTGAGTGGCGAGGCTGGCTGGCCAGTGAGCCCATGGCCACCATGCCTGGCGCTTTCTGAGGCTCCAGTGATACAGGTCATGTCCTCATGCTCATGCAGTAAGTGCTTTGCCAGCTGAGCTGCCGCCTCGCCACACAAGACTCCATTAAAGTGACAGACAAGGGCCTGACAGGGCGGGGAAGGAGATGCACACTGCCTTCAACAGGCTCTGATGGGAGCCGCTATGGGCGCACACATGAGAGAACGAGTCGGAGAGTCCAGGTGGACATGCCGCTACAACTGTCATTTGATAATAAAATTATTGTTCTAGTTCTGCTGTGCTGCATAATAACGTGTCTACCCGAGGAGAAGCCGTCGCTGCTGATAAACATGGGAGCTAAAAAGCACTGGGGACACGATTTCTTATCGCCACCTTTACACAGGCAGAGCCGAAACCCTGTGAGTCAGGGTGCTCTATGGCGTAGGTTCACAGAGACATTTTATTACTGTATTCTAATATTTCACCACCATTTGTCAAAATATCTTATTTGAGCCACAGGGGAACAACTCATATGTTTCAAGACCTCAGACTAAACTGCACCAGATTAAAAACCTCTTGGATTTCTGGTGCTTCTAAGAGAGGCCTCAAGTAAACATGGACCTTTTTTGCCACCTACTCATGCGGCATTAGAATATTAATAGAATATTAACACTCCTCGTTAATATTCTAGACTGTGTTATCAAAAATGGTGAGAATTCTTTAAATATAAAACTAAATGCACGTATTTTGACAAAATGTTAACTTTTGATTTTGAATCAAGTCATTAAACATTTGACTAACCCATTGGGGTGTTTATTAAAAACTGTAACAAGTAAAAAATAAGAAAAGGACAAATAAAACACACACACTATGTGAATTGTGAAATAACCAAGTCAAATATTTTCACGTTAACAAAGGCTATCATGTTCTGGACACCCAAAGAAGGTATTGTGGGGCTCGGGAGTGTGACCATAATAGATTGTTGTGAAGACAGAGGAGGTTCTGTGAAGGATCAACAAGGGAGAAATGAGAACACGGTAGAATCCACTCAGTGCAAAGACAGCAGCCAGCAACGGGACTGCCTTGGTGAGTGAGGTCACAGATAGTGGTCACAAGACACAAGTTGTATGTACGAAGAGTGTCACGTGGTACTTCGAACACCACAAAGGGCGTGGGGAGAGCGAGCCGGGGTAACTGACTGCACAGCGTTATTACTTTGAAAACCAAGTGGACCCTTTAGAGCCGACAACCTGGCTGAACAGAATGGATGCAGCCGGGAAGGGCAAGGACTGTGAGTGTGCATCAGTGCTGTGACACAGGAAGAGGCTTGTTTCTCCACTTAGGGATTTCATTTTTGCTCTGGAGGGGACTTCCAGGTGATGCCTTTATCTGTTTGAGAGTTTCTTCAAAGGCAACATCAAGGTTCTGAAATGTTCTTAGGACACACCAGCCCATCGTCCTAACCAATCCAAATAAACAGAACCTGGGGAGTTTTTCAAAGTCCAAACGTGAATGAATACTTATTAAATACCTAATGCAAAGCACGCATCTGTGCATCTTCATCATTGTAAGGGACAGATAATGTCCCTTTGATCATTAAACTTACATTTTGCTGGAGGGAGATGAGCATAAACAACACATGAATGACTAATACCTCAAGTTGTGGTCTGAAGAGCTCTGAGTCTTCAGAGCAGGCACACGAAAGGTGAGGGAAGCAAAGTAAGGGAGTTACCACATGATCCAGGTTGCAAGTTATCCACGTGGGTGACTTGTGGAAAAGGAGGTCAAAGACTCCAGTAGCCCTGGAGTGCGCTGGTAGGCTGGGATGGAGCGTGCCAACTGTGCAGGGTTTTACAGGCTAAGAAAATAAATCTGGATTTGGCTTCGAGTGTGTTAGAAAACCATTGGAAGTTTCTGAGCCAAGATAGGAAAGGTGAGTTATTTACCTAATAACTCACATTTCCTAGGTTCTGGAAACAGGCTCCAAGTACATCATGCAGAGAAATTGGCAGTCCTTGCTTCTCATGGTTTGTGTTGAAGTATGGAAGTATCTAAGCCTGACCTGCTTCTGCTGGAGTGAAGTGTGGCTAGGAGGGCCTGGGGCTATCTGGCAGAGGACTCTGGCCTGGCAACTTATTATTGAAACTGATGTTTGCCTCTCAGTTAGAGCATGCTGCTGACCAGAGACAGAGTGCATGGCTTTGCACTGATGAGCAAGAGTAGACAACAAAGTTAAGTTTAGCATGATAGAGATGAGAACGTTCCATGAGCCAAGTCGTTGACTGGCAAGATGCAAGGCAAGACTATCTTGAATGAACTTAACCTGGTCTTGTGGGCTGATACGGCATGTGTGTGTGTGTGTATGTGTGTGTCTCATCTTTTGGGACCCCAGCCATTTGCAGTAGAGATCATCACATATGTTAAGGAATTTGGGGACTCTCTTGGGGACTTTTCAAGGGAAAAATATACTTGCTCAATGGAGCTTCATCTGATACCCGAAGGTATATGATGGCTGATGATGGTAGCCAATGAGTGACATGGGGAGGAAACACACTGG